AGACATATTGAGCAAAATTTTGTTGAGAAGCGTGATGTTAAGGCATGTGACAAGATTCATGTAAATAGTTTCACTGCGTCTATTATACGCATGATGATTATCAAAGATTTTCTCAGCAAAGATCAGAATACCAATACATAGCAAGAAGAGTAATATATCCATTTTATTTAGAACATCTATAGAGACAGAAAAATCGATTAACATTGTGATGACATGTCTCAAGAAAGTCTACTTTTTTTTAACATTATAATTAATTAGAACACAAAATATTAATAAATGATAATAGATTTATTATTATTATTTTGCAGAATATAGGATTTGTTTGATCAAAGATATTAACGATATAAATAATGGTATGTTAGATTGGTTTTGATTTTTTCATTTTACTTGTACAAGGCAGATAAAAGGATTTATTAACCAGGTAATTACCTTTTTATATAATTTACAGAATCGATTTTATTATATGCTTTTGGGAATATGATCATATCATGAAAATCTGATCAATGGACTCTCCTTAATTTAACAATAAAAGAATTTAACGCTATCCATATGTAAAGATCATCAAGAGTCCTTTTATAATAATATACGTAATAATTTTGAGAATATGTGAGAAAGTTTGAGAATAAAAGTCCCTAGATTTTCGTTGGCAATCTTATTACCCAATAATTTGCCGATTCAGATTTTCTAAATTACCTGTATTAACATGCAAGTAATAAAAATTAGCACTGTATATACATTGAATCACTACAAGAAAAATATTTGACTACATTGCTCAGGTCAGTAGCTTAAACATCTTTTATTTGTAATACATTAAGCTAAAAAAATTACATAATGCGGGATTAACTCTAGGTATATGATGCTATTCTATGATTGTAGACTATTATATACAATTTATTTTTTCGAATGATATTTCTCTATTCTAGTTTGAGGCAAAGAAGACATATCTATGATACATGCTATGTTATATGATAATCGTGAAGACTCTTCACACTTTCAACTAATAGAAGCGGGATCTACTGGTTAATTATATGATAAATTTTAATTTCAATGACATATTCAGAAAATCTTGGCAAGAATTTTCCTGATATTAACTGTGCATCCAATTCCAGTTTCTTTTGCATAAGCTACCCACGAAATTCGAAAAAAAAGAAATGAAATAATATACAAATATTTTTTTTTCATAATTCCTTCGGTCTAAGTCACAATCGCGAACTTGAGTTTATTGCTTGAAGTGTTGCAGGTAAGACAATATTCTAACTTATCTTAGAAATACAATTTTGCTAACTCAGAATCATAAGGGAACTGATTCCTATTTTTGCAGTACTATGAGCTATGTAATTCATAATTTTCATATTTTCCATTGCAAATAGGGCATGGTGAGCTCTATGGCTGAAGTGATATAAAATTATAATTATCAATTTTCCTAAAACTATTTCAGAATTTTAGGTATGTGAAATGCTTTAAGATAGACTTGATAATTAATTCTAGATTGGGGTTAGCTTTGAAGGTGATAATAGGCTTGAAATTAGAAGCTTGAGGTTCTGCTGACATATTTATCATAGCTTTTGATAATTGTCATGGCTCATTTCCAGTTTCTTTCTTATATGTTTTATATAATTTGAAGCGAATTTTATCTGTTAAAATGTTTGGTAATTCACTTAATTTGGCATGCTAATTTAGATATTCAGAGTTAATACTTTATCAGATTTGCTCATATTGTCTTTTTATATGATTGCAAATCAATTTAAATTATAGTAAGTATAGTCGATGTAGATTAGCCCTATAAAAAAGTAGTTTCTCAAGAGAAACACAAATATACAGTATTATAAAATAATGAGACTATGCAGTTATCTCAATTTTACACTGTTCACACTTAATAAAATAGGATTCAGTTTTATATCTACCTTTTATGCTTTCCTCATCATCATGACCTAATTTGCATAATGGGCATAATGTCTTATCAGTAATGCCATAATAATCAAAGTCTTCACTACTATATTCTCTATATAAGTTGGAATATTGATCTAATATCTTGTTACAAAAATCAGTGCGGTCATAAATTAGACTATTGGGTTGAGAAATAGGTGGTACCACCTCTACTTTAGTATCAAATTTTTTCAGGACAGATTCATTAGGAACCTGAAATTCAGTAGGCACATCTAAACTGGTGATATGTGATAAGTCAGAATTTTTCTTATCACTTTGTGAACTCGGTTCATAAAGTTGTGTCTCCATATGAATACTATAATCAAAGGGTATATTGTCTATAATATACCAGATGTCTTCATATGTCATTTTTGAGATAGAATCAGTGGAGAAGAAATAAATTTGATTTATTTTATCCATACATATTACATTAAAAAGTGTATAGAGCTTCTTGGCCTGCTTGATTCTTTTCCATAAAAGTGCATCAGAAGTACTTACAGAAAGCTGAGCTTTAACTTCTATATTTAGAATTTTACTGACTGTATTAGACTCTGGATTAACTTGTTTTTCAGATGTGATCTCACCTCGCCTATGGATAAGAGCTTTCCCAAATTGACAGTAATAAAAGATAGCTTCTTAGGTTATACGATTAGCAAGGATTACAGTATCACAAAGTTTTTCATACAAAAGAGAAAAGGTTGGCATTCCCATTTCTACTGTTAAGGGATCACAGCTTTATATTATTTTCTCTAGACAAACATCTAAAGAATTCGAGCCTGACTTATCTATAATATTAAAACAATTAGTGCTTATATCCGATTCTTTTTGGGAAGATACTGAAAGTATCGAATCATTCACAATCACTTTAGTAACTGCCTTCTCAGATACTTTCTGAATGAATTTTTTCCTTTGTTTTATTTGATTTTTCTTACAAAGCACCCTTTTGTCAACTGATACCTGCTTATCTTTTTCAGGAGAAATAGATTCTACTTTGCAAGCTTCTCCTCCTGCTTTCTCTGCCTAATTTCATTACTAACTCTTTTCTTATTCACCTCATTCGGGAAAGAGTCTATTGTCTTGTCCTCTGATGACTTTGAATTGGCAGGTACTGTTTCATTTGCTACTATAGAGTCTGATATATCAGCAGATTTTTCAGGAGAGAAATCCTTTTGCGGATACCTAGAATCTTCTTCTAACTTTGCAACTCTAGCCTTAAGCTCAGCATTCTCAGCATCACGCCTGACATTTTCAACATTATATCTAGTATTTTCGATGGCAGTATCTATTCTAGCTTTTTTTAATTCCTCAATTCTATTTCTAAGTTCAGTCCTTAGCTTTGTAATTTCATCCTTGACCTTGTCATACTTGACCTTAAATTCGGCATTCTCAGCTATAAGTCTGGCATTTTCTTGCCTAAGTAAGTCAATCTCGATGTTATTTTCAAAAATAATTTTATACATTGTATATTTACATTCAAAATAAAAAATTCACGTGATTCCATTTTGTGAACTTAGTTTACGAAGTTTTAATCTTGGCAAAAGAATAATTTATTTATAAGAAAAAAAAAAGGAATTTACATTGATTTAAAATTTGCAGGTAGATAGAATAAGCGTAAAAAATATATAGTCATAGAATTCTCATTCCAAAGACTATGAATGATCTAAAATCAAAATGTTATAGTAATATTTAGTAAAATATTCATGCTAGAGCTAAGATATGCTCTGATCCCAAACATTCGTTCTAGAAAATGCATCATATAAGGTACCTAGTTTATACTTTGTAAGAGCTAAATTTAAGTAATAAAGAAATTTTATGAGTAAGTCATCCCTCCAAGCTTTCGTCTCTTCATGCTCTCAAGTTATTTCTATTAATATAGACAAGTTATTACTAGAATAATTCTTTTGTATTAAATTCTGAAGTGAGAAATGTTTATTTTTTTTGAGGGTAAATAAACTCACTTCTCCTACGATGGTGCTAATAATGAATTTTTCGCGAATATCTGCTCTTTCTGCTAAGGTAGATAAGGGCGGAATTAAAGTTGAGTGGTAAAAGTCAGCTAAAGGATCTAATTCGAATTCACCAACAGATATAGTTTCAATATTTTCTAAATATTCTGAAAGTCTATTAGCGCATCTGTAATCTTCATAGATCAGCTTCTGAAATAGCTTACTATTAGTTTTGATCTAATGCCCCATTAGAAGATTGAGTACTTCGTTAGAAGTAACTGATTCTTGAATACTAATTCTCAAAATTAACATTTATGAAACTGATAATAGTTGATTAGTACTTATAAAATGGATATGTTTAATTACCTCTTTAGCAAATTAATTCCAAACATCTTTAGCTTGATCTAAGCTGATTTCTTTCCACATATTTCTGTTTATAATATATATATGCTCTTTCCCTATTTTGACCACATGGGACACAGAGCCGAATGCTCGATTTAGTACTCTGACCACATCTTTTATATAGTTGTAAGATTATTACATCCTTTCGTATTTTAAATGCATGAGAGGCATAATATTGCTCTCGTATCGAATTTTTACAGAAACGGGTCTCTTTAACTAATAACTAATTATAAGACATTTTTTATTATTTATGCTCACTTTTATATTTAAAATAAAAAAATATCATGTGATTTTTCCTTATGGCCCATCAGCAAAATTTGTCAAGAAAAAATTTTTTATTAATACATGCGAAAAATAAATACAAATATTCTAAACTTTGCCTGTGATATATGACTAAATTCTATCCTATGACCTGCACGCAAAATTATTCTTTAATAAATTTTTTTGTTCTTGTCCTCTTACTATCTAAAGCATCATCAACCTCAACCCTATCCTTTAACAAACTAACAATCACTTCCATAACCTCCTTCACTCCTTGACGAAATTTTACATTATTATCTAAAATATTCTCAGTAAGGTCAATGTGATAGTCAGTCTTCGTACAATAAATTCTTTCTGGTGTGTACATGATAAAGTACCAATTTATGACTAGAATAGACGAGAGTTAATAATATCATCTAACATTAGCTCATCATATGTTGCATAATCATGATCAAAAAATCTCACCTATTGTAACGATCCTGTAGAGATAGTTAAAATCATCATCGAAAACTTCAGACGCCTTTCATTTTCTCTTATTTGTATGGTAGGAGCTTTCGAGTTGCATAATATTTCTGCATAATACCCAAGACCTTCTGATTCTATTTCCCTTCAGTAATGCAAATAAGTTCCTCATTTAATGAATCTATTATTTTTTTGATTGCGTAATCGACTCGTTCTGTTGCATCTTCACTAATGACTTCAAACTGTAGTTCCAGGAAGATTCTCTTTCAGGTGATATCTTTGACTATATACATTGCTGAAAGTAGTATTACCTCGATATACGAACAGCATATAACCTTATTACTGCTTTTGCTGAACCTATAATATCCATTTTTGCTTAATATTGGTTATATAATATTGAAAGTATTTATCAGCCTCATTGATTTTCACAGGCTCTGGT